CGGCCCCGTTTTGAGAACATTCTGATGAACGGATTTGGACCACTATTTGATTATTGATTTTCGGGGTCAGCGCGATGAAGTTTTTAATTATAAGATCGGCCTGAGAACGGAGGAAGATTTTGTTGAATTAGTGAATATCTTTGTTTTGAGCTCTTTATAATTGTTTATGGAAATATTGATTATGGTAAATTCATCATGGCTTTCAACAACGTGTACCAAACGTAAGTAAGTGCCATTGAAAGCGATAATAGATCTACCTTACCTATGACAGAAAATGTCGATTGTATTAGATATTTGTCGTTTGGTTCTGTTTCAGTTACAGGTGCAAAATTTACTGTTATTTCCGTATGGCAGGGCTGTCATCTATTTATATTTTTTGTCATCTATTTTTGTCATTTTTTGTCATCTGTTTATATTTTTGCTAGACGGTTCATACAATTGTGATAAGTGCTCATGATCCTAATGATTTTTGCGCAATCTGTTCGCTTAACCTCCATTTGAATTAACACTATAATTAATCATCTCATTTAAAACCGGACAGTTAATTGCATGTCAAGCGTCAGGATGACGACCCATTTGTTTTTCACAAACCGCGAATCTTTTCTTCATCCGTTTTTTTTGTCAGCCGTTACTTAGCCATTTATTGAATTCGCCTTTAAAAACTAATATTAGAAGATCAGTTCAGCAGCCTGTTTTTCATTGATCAGACAGTAAGTGAAATTTAATATTCAAGTAAGCCCTAAGGCTCATGATATATTGTTGAGACACTGGATATTACGGTGAACAGAAGGTAACAAATAATGAAACCAAAAGTGAAAGTGGATCCCTGCTAAGTTCACCACAGTCTGAACCAAAGTGGAAGTTATTTCTCAATGTAAAGCTCATAAATTCTAGAAGTTGCATTATCCTTCTATCTAATAAAAGATGCAGATTTATTTTTTATGCAGTGTATAATCGTCTTTTTTCATTGATGCCTTGTCATCCTTGCCGCTGTAGAAGCCAAGGATTATCAATGAGCTTCAACATTAGACAAATGCATTTTTTTGTAGTCGTATATGCCAACAGTCTTGTCGTTGATTAAGAAAATTACTTCATGCGGAAAATGCTATTTAAATTATGTATATCCGTTTTGCATTCAGCCCTTAATATCATCATTATTTTACCGTACCCATAAGCGATGGTGATCTAGTCTTAGAACTGGCTGCAACTTGTTCAGTGAACTGTTGCTTACTGAGTTCGATGGCATCATCAAAATAAACCTTTTTCGATTCTTTGCTGGATGAAGGCCTCCAAAACTTCGCCATAGACTTCATTTTTGTGCTATTTATATTCATCTGATTGAGCGATCTTCTTCATTTCGTCCTATCAACGATCTGCAGATCCTCCTATGGGCTGTTTACTCTCTGTTGGAATCCTGTCAAATGTCTCTCTTGTGTAGCCATGGTTGATTCATCTTGCAACATGTCTTGCATATTGCCGTTTCAGCTTCACTCCTGAAATGATATTACAGACACTTAATGACACTGCAGGGACTGTAGATTCCTTTTCTGATTTTTGTTTTTTCCAACTTGCATCATTCCATGCTGTAATACAATAATATATCTTGCGTAATCTCAGTACATTTCACTTTTGGGGTCTGCATTTAGTACTCATTGGTCAGTGCTGGCAGCACACAGTACCGCTTTGCGTTTTAAGCACTCAAAGGCAGTTTCTTGGACAGGAGTATTTCCCGTATACCAAAAATGATCCATGCAGTTTTTACTCTTCTGCTAATTTTTGAAACGTTTCTCCGCCGCAGAGATAAGCGGTGGAAGATAGTTTTTTTTTACCTCTTCCAGCGTCTCTATTGTCTTCAGCGGGTCAGGCGGGCAAGTGTTTGTTAAACTTCACACGAATATTCTTCTTCAGATATGTGTTCAGTCCTGTTTTTGGCGGCTTTAACAAGATCAGGATTTCGTTCCCAAACAGCATATGGTTCGTTTATTTTCAAACTGATTTTCCGAACAAAAATCTTTTCTATGGCTGCTTTGAATAGCTTCAGTGATATTGCGTCTCCGTTTTCGTCAGACGCCCTTTTCGATTTTTAATTTGCTTTGGCCGTTGTAAAGTTTCATGCTAACCGGGATTCTTGTAAATCGTGTCCATTTGGTCTCTGCGTCTTTTCTCGATTCCAGGCTCCTCAAAGAATGCATTGCACAACGCACGTATACTGAGTCGAAAACCTTCTCGAAGTCGACGGACCTCAGACAGAGGAGAAGCTGATAATTCGTTGCTTGTCTAAATTTCTTGTCATAACATCGGAAGATGATCCATCATACGAATTTTACTTCCACTCCGGAATCCCGTTGCTCTTTTTTAACTCATATTGGAACCGAAATTTAACGTATGAAATGTTTTATTCCTACCAAGATATGTGTATTTCGTTATCCCGGCGGCGGCAGTGTCATGGTTTCATCTGACTGTACTTTCAGTGACCGATGGTATTTTCATTATTTGCCTTCTCGTTCACAGGATAGCTAATAGGTTTAGAAGACGTAAATCGTAAGCGGATATCTCATACGAAAAATCGGATATTGGCTTTACTGTTTATAGTTGCACCGTAGTATTTTGTATTGTTTAGACTTTTTTTAACAATATTCACGGCATACCTTCATCGTTACATGAATGAATGTATAAGCTGCAGTAATATAAGTATATTTGATAATTAACAGTAGTTTACTTGACATTTGATAAGTTTGACTAAGGCTGATGAATACTGATAAATTCATCCATTTCAGGATACGAGGTTGCGGGTGTCATTGAAGTTTTTGGGGAAAACAGCAATCCGGCACAATTTGACCTGAGTGTCGGAGACAGAGTGATCGTGTGGCCGACCGATGAAATGTGCCAACATGGGTAATTAAACGTTATTTTGCTTGTTGTAAGTTACGACAGCACATCGATGTATTCAAAATTTGATGGCAAGTTGGGTTTCTTTTTTTAAACAAAAGAGATCCCCGCTATTCTCATGTAACTAGTTCAGCGATGAAAAGTTTATCTTGTATATTTTATCCTATATCCTATGTATTACATTTTTATGCATTGAAATCTCTCCGAATTGTTCACGCCATAGCAAGAAACCGACAAATATGTATGGGTATTTGACAGAATTTTTTAAATTGAAACAATGCTATTGCCTATTTATTCTTTTATATTAAGAGCTGTTTCGTATTATCGATTTTTCAAAGAACAGAATGTCACATTACACTGTTTCAAACATAATTATATAAAAATATCGCGATTGGTATAACTACGGCAGATATTAAATTTTATTTCCGTTCAAGCTGTTACTGATTACTTTCTGGAATTTGCAAGCTTGTTCAGTAGTATGTATGCGAGGCTATTGTTGTAGGATCTTTTTCATAATCTGCGTATGAATATATATATCCATTTATGATTGTGACCTAAATGTTTTCACTGTCGATTGCACAGGCTGTTTTAGATATGCAGATTATATAGCCGTTCCTACCCTGCATTATTTGGTGAAAATTCCGGAATCGTTCTCGATGCATGTTGCAGCAATGCTACCGGCTGGAGCGACCTGGGCTCTTTCAGCCATTGTCCAGAGCAGCGCTGTAGTCGAAGCATTCGTAAGATCCAAAGGTTACTGTAACCTGTTGATCGTTGGAGCTGGCGGTTTGGGATTGTGGCTGCTGAAGTTGTGTAAATATTTTTTCGCCCAGAAGTTCGAGACCAAAATTCATATTCTGGTTGCCGATGGGAAAGAAGAACGTTTGTCGCTAGCGGAAAGGAATGGCGCCGATAACGTTGTCCACTGGGACGAAGCGGGTACACAGCTTGGGTTTTTAACTTTTACTGGCAGTAACCGAACTAATGATGTGCACATTTTAGAATTCGAGGAACATCTGATAACCAGAACAAAGGATGCCGCTCGCTCAGGAGTGCAGGTTGTTTTCGATTTCGTTACTTCACCTCGCAGTGTCACTCGATCTCTCCGTTGTCTGTCTGAGGTTGGTCGATACTACATGAAAGATGCGTTGTGCAGTTTGTTTAAATATTGATTTTTTAGGGCGGCGTTCTTTTTGTCGGTGGACTTTCAGGGCTAGACGTCCAGCTGCCGATCAAACTTGTTGCGAAGAATCACTTGTCGATAGTGGGTGTAGCCCGAGGTTCTATCGAACAACTCAAAAATCTAGTAAAACTGATTAGTCAGGCAAAAGTACGTTATAGATTAGATTAAACAAAGTAAAGTGATTCGTTGCAGATCGATCCTCCTGCATACAAAGTGTATCCGATGAAGCAAGCTGGCCAGGTGATGAAGCAGCTTAGCATGTCTGAGGTGGAAGGTCGCGCGATCCTGGAGGTGTGTGAACCGGAGAAAGCGATTACTGACCTGAAGATCGCACAAGGCAACGTAGTTGCTTGATAAACCATGACTTGCTACTTAAAATACTACGACGCCAGACGTGCGGTTTTCTATTTACTACTCTAGTTTTAATTAGCAATTCGAAGCCTCCTCATGTTAAGTTGGTTTTTCCTGAATCTTTGGTCCAGTTTTGCAGTCGGGCATGATCATCGCTTTTTATGTGTGTTCTGTGGTTTGATGATAAGGGCAACTTGAGAGTTTTCAAGCAAAATGTGCTGGATGTGCAACAGCTTTGTGTGATATTGTTTTCACATTCGAGGAGCAGCTTTGTACTAGCGGATGTGAGAAATCACAGTGACTGATTGTATGAAATTTGTGCGAAGTATTCATCGCAAGCATTGTACACATTTTGAAATTCCCCGCTCGTTTTCTCATTCATTCTGGTAGCCCGTATTTGTGGAAATATAAAATAATATGATATGACAGATTTGTACGAATTTCAATCGTATGGACAGCTTTACTTGTAAATACGGTATGTTATAAAGTTGGTGCTAAAAATGGTGTTTCTTCTTTTTTTCTTAATGCCTAACAAAGTAACGAAAGCGATTGTGCTTTCGAAAAGTCCGTTCCACTCCTACAAATCGACGTGTTCAACATGACCTTTCGCGAAGCTCGTTTCCCACTCTACGCTGACTTTGCCAAACGTCTTCTCTTCAAACGCAGGGTCTTTCGTGAAAAAGAAAGCCAGAATACACTGTGAATCAGCATTCAGTGGTCTCCAAGCATACAGCGACTGCCCTGGTAGAACGACCAGCTTCCCGCATGCTGACGCAATTTCTTCCTAGCAAAAGAAAGAATTAAATTCGTCAAAATGAAATAAAGTTCCGAATAAAAATTCCATTGCCGTGAAGAGTAACCCCATGCAAAACCTGCCAGTTCTACTTATATTCCTACAGTAAAACGCATAAACAGTAAACCGGTACATATACAGTAATCCGGTTCTATTAATACAGTAAATTTGTTCAGCGGCGCGATCGGAAAAATTCAGAGCATTTAATCGATTTTCTGCCATTAGTCGTCTTACTACAAGTTCACGATTAATCACACCTTAGAAACCGGTCGGCAAGACGCCGACCGATTACAACCGTCAAACACTAGATTATATCGGCCGATAAGAACTTCGGTGCCGACATACAGTACACCCGGTCAAAGGTAGTTCGGTCTTGAGAAGACGAGTCAAACTTAAGAAATGATTAGAGCAAGCCATTTACTCTGGCAGTGGCAGGGTGTAAAGGGTTATTTTAGTAAGCAGAAGATATAATTAGAATGACATAAATAGATATATTCAAGAACTATTTGCAAGGACGTGGTGGCACAGAACAGAAGAACCTTGGTAAGAAAATCAAAGCTCGTGAGTTCCAGAGCAGAAACGTTGCAAAATTTCCCGTTAAAGGAGCGTTTCTATTCCCCAATATCATTAACTTTTCAACCTTTTACTCGACCAGCACGCTTCGACCAGGGCAAGCTTTCCAGATCCTACCATCCAGTCAAAAAATTTGCATATTCTGTCGGAACTTTCAGTAACCCCCCCACCTATTCATTGCGTAAAACCGAAAAAATTCAGCTAGGCCCGCAATTCCTCCATTTTACTTTACAACATCTGCACATACAAATACACCACTTCTGACGCAATTCTCCACCGATCTTTAAAAGAATCATCAAAGCTAAGCACTTCTTTTATCAATTCTTCTACAAGCACGGTCCTTGGGTCGTTTCTTGCCTGGGAATTACTACGCTGCATATACAGACAGACACAGATACACTCACGTACCTACATATACAATAATGAAGCACATAAAATAATGCCAAAGCCAGTAGCTTTAGCTAACATAACTATAAGCTAGCACATTCATTGGGTCACTGTTTGCAACAAAATTAACTTTGAAGAATATTTAAACACGATCAACAAATTAAGCATAACACGAAAACGCAACTGATTGACATACCGAAAATTAATTTTATTTTGCAACCGGTCTGAATAAAAATAAAATACATCACATTTGCACCGTTGTAGATTATGAATTGCAGGTGAAATAAAACTACTTCCTTGAACACTGTGGCCTTATTAAGACCAGACCTTCTCTAAAAAACTTAAAATCTCTGTATAACATTTTTTGGCGCGTGTGACTGCTAAGTTACGAGTTTCACGAGCACCTCTGAGTATTTTAATGAATTTATGGTATTGTGCGGGTGCTCTGGTGCCACAGGCTAAAGCAAAATACGGTTAATTCGAAAAAAGTAAAATTGTCGTCAAGCGTAAACACAGTCAAATAGCAAAACAAAAGATTCGATACTTGAGGCATAGAGAGAATGCCTGAGTTTCAGAGAGGTCAGTCTTCTATTTTTACAGCCATTCGCTGTACAATGAGTTTGCAAACTAAACATGTTTCTTTAGACTCCTTGTTATTCCTACCGATGAAACCAAGTAGTTCGGCATTAAGCCGGGTGATTTTTTTTATTATATATGCCATAATCGAAGTATATCCACTAGAGCTCGAACGGGCATTTGTCTGATCCAATAAAATGGAGCGATTTTTCACCTGTAACCTACAGATGCTAAATAACCATGGATTGCTGTGATTTCTTGTAACTGGACTACACTGAATCCCAGTTCTCACTTATTCTATTGGATGCAAAGTCAAGAGTTTAGTGTGCCATCACGATACGTTGAACAACACAATCATAACCTTTCACATCTCTAAGACTACAACATAGTGACGTAGCCATCCATCGGTCAAGGAAATGAAGAAAATTATTCACTGAAAAGAATAAGTAAACATTAAAATACAGATCCTAGGATCAACGGAAGTTATTTGGTGAATGTGAATGTTCCCTTATGTGAATGGACTACATCTCATCGAGGATCACTCGAATAATCTCCAGTCCCTTTGATCGAGAAGTCAGTTTACCAACGCGCTAGAAATAAACAACTGGGGGATGAGAAATCAACATCAACACTTGGACAAAGAAGTCATTGATGCCATCCAAGAAGTAAAATTTGAATCTGCCTCATAGGTTTATCATGTAAAACAAACATAGCGGACCGTTTTTCGTTTCAGTCATCTTCTGAAACTCTCTTAAACTAAACTAATCCTCGCGTTATCGTCACGGATACGACTACAGTAAGGAATTGCGTAACAGACGAATACGGTGCAGTATATACTGCTTAGCAGCTATGGCAACAATAAAGGTTGGCCATGAGATCTGAATAGGTCGGCAAAAGAGGCTCTGGAAATAAGTAGAGGTCCCTGCGCTCTCTCAGTCAGGCCCGCCAAGGAAAAGGTCACTCACTCTAAATCCGCATGGAAAGACTGGTGGCAACCATCCGTGTTAAATCTCTAAGAAACCACGTCAACGGTGCTTGTACTGTGCTGTGTCTCTACCCTCTGAACAGTGAATGACGAATTATATTTAAGACCGATGGAAGGCCTGGTGCAGCGACGACTGAGACATTATATCACAATATGCTAGAGTAATATTCTTTGTGATTGCAAATCTGTTGAATGGCTGCAACTGATTATGCAAAAGAACGAATATCAATAAAAAATCGAAACAACTGGATCGCTGCGTCTCTTCCGCCCATCCTCCACGATGAGAGTAGATAACCAAAGTGGATAACTGATTTCAGTCGCTTTATAGGTTCAAACATAGGGTAGATCTAATGCCTTTCGTTAAGAACGGTACTTCTTACATGGAGATCACTGTCCAGGCTGTAACGTTACATTACTTCGTC